GTAGTACATTCTCCAGGAGAAACCTGCTATAAGCAGATAGATGTTGAATTACAGGGTCGGCCCCTAAAACCCTTTGAACACAAAGTACTTTCTGTCTTACCTATTGCTAATAGTTTCTAACATAACCAGTCAGTGCCATTTTAAAAGAAAAATATAAGAGATCATCTTTATGATTTGGGGTGTAAGTAGGGTTTCTTAACAAGAACAAAAAAGATAAATTTTATAGAAACCTGTTTGTCCATATTGCAATGACTCTCTGGCACTCAGAGAGCTGGAAATCAAGAAATAATGATAAGAATAATGATACTCCTCATTACCCTTTGCATTTGTAGACTAATGACTGCTGAAGAGTCCTTTTCCATGCTTTATCCTCTTTATGGTCATAACAGACCAGTTTCAAAAGGAGGAAGCTGGTGCCAGAGAGATGAAGGGACCATCCCCCAGATCCCACAGTCCACCCACAGGGGCAGAGGCTGGGATTGAACCCCTGCGTCCCGAGTGCTCACCTTGACACCTTCAGCACCCTGACCTCCTGGTCCAGGATCAGCTCATCACGGAAGCACTGATCCTCAGAACTGCTCGATCCTCTGCCAGGCATCCTTCACTTCGTCCCTCCAGTCCCCTGGGGCTGAAGGCTGTGCTTCACGAAAGCGTCCAGCCTTGTCCCCGGGTGTCATACAGGTCCTGGGCAGCCGCCATCTCTGCAGGACCGGAAGAATCCTCTCTGCTTCTGCCCAGCCCCGTGGAAGCGGCACCTTGCAGCCTTTCTCCAGCAGGCTGGAGACTGCAGGAGGGGAAGGGACAGTGTGGGGCAGAGAGGACTTTTCTTCTTCTAGGCTGCAGAGAGGCTGGCGGAGCCTCCAGGCAGCAGCTTGATCCTGCTCCCAGGCTGTTTCAGCTCGGAAGCCAGCTTCTTGTTCCTGGGAAACCGAAACTGAAACTGAGCTTTTTTTTTTTTTTTTAAATTGGAAACTGAACATTGCTTAACTTGAAAAAAAGAAAGGGAATTTTCTCCTTCTGTTTAAGGCTGCCAGGAAAGACTGCTGGGAGATGGAGCGAGCGCCCCCTCCCCATGGTTCTCAGCCTGGGAGTTTCCCAGAGTGTCCTGGAGCTGGCCTGCCGGTCCCCATTGCCTGTGGCATGGCTGGAGGTGCTGTTAGGAGGATAGGCTGTCGTGTTTCCCAAAATAAGGCAGGTCTTAACATTTATTTTCCCCAAGAAGACATCCTAGGCTTATTTTCAGGGGATGTGTTATTTTTTTTAAGTAAGTATACAATCTACATTTATCAAATATAGTTAAGTCGTCTTCTTCTGGACATCATCATAACTCTCCAAACCCGAATTCCATCCTGAATGTCTTGTGACTCTATTTCCTTTAGAACCATTGCCCAGTCTCTCATTGTCGAGCACTAGAGCTCTCATGGGGCAGATTGAGAAGGGGCTGCTCGTCTTCTTAGTGCTCCACGTAAATGCACGGGTTGTGCAGATGCGCTGCGTAGCCACGCCGTCCTAGGTCTTTTTTCGGGGTAGGCCTTCATTTTCACAATGCTTAGAAATCCTGCTAGCCTTATTTTATGGGTAGGTTTATTTTCGGGGAAACACGGTAGTGCTCACGCGTGGGTGCAGAAAGATTTTCATGCTGAGATTAAGATATAAAAGTTAAAGTTTATTTTATCCTTCTTAGAGGAGAAAAGGAGAAAGAGAAGAAAGGGGGAGAGGAAAGAAGAGTGACATCCCAAAGAAAAGAAGGGGTGCCAGCAGGGAGACAAGTGGCTTGCTGCATTTAAGGGGGACAAAGAGAAAAAAATAGCGATGGCTGTCAGTTGGTAGTAAAAAAAGCAAAAAAAAAAAAAAGCTGTAGAACGTCAAAGTCTAAGAGTTGCTTTCCTGCCTTCCCTGGAGAAGAGATTATCACAGGAGATGGACCTGTGTCTTCCAGATAGGGTTGAGGCTGCAGCTCAACAATAAACAGTTTTTCTGCTGTTGACTCAGAAACTCTATAAAAGCAGATTCTCACAAAGCAATTTTTGAAAGAGAGAGATTTACATCTCTTTTCTGTTATTTTCAGCTCTTTCCAGAAGTTGTGGCA